GGTCTTTTGCTTTTGAATAGTAGATTTATTATTTCGTATGAAATACATTACTTTTACAGACAGCTGTCATGAGTGGTATGTTCCGTGTTATTGTCGTGTTGAAATAAAAACTAATTTCTTGACATGCCCATTTTTTCAGCACTGGAATGTAAATTTTTATTTAGAATAGGTAAGTGAAGGTGCTTTTCCATTGTCCCGTCTATAAAAAGGAGATTCCCGACTTCCTGAGCTGGCACGTACTCATGCCGTGTTTAACAGTTGCTTTGACGTTTTTGATATTTAATTATTCATTTGGTTTCCGCTAGACCAAAGGACGACCATCCAATCCAAAAATGTTATATTTCCTTTCGTCACTAAATATTACAGTTTTTCAAAAGTCAAAATCTTTCATTTTATAGGTATTAGCGGACGAGAATCTCTACTATGTATATATGTATGTAGTTATTTCTAAGCACTCAGTGCACTGTTTCATCTCACGCTGCTCTAAGTTCATCATTACTTTTTGGGGCTGATAAACGTGATTTTACCGTAATATTTTACGCGTTTCCCTAACTGTCAGTAACTTTGGTCGCCCACTCAGGCCTGCGTGTTTCTTTCTTCGTATAGTTTGGCGATTCTACTAAACATATCACTAATATATTTTGTGGATTTACCCTCATTTTGAAGGTGCAAACAATTGTTTTTCTCAGCAGGAGTTAATTCTTTACAAAATCACGACCACAAACGAAATAAATGCAACTAAAATTAAATTCAACCACTAATTACTATCATGTGTGGAATACAATGCTCGCGACAGACTGCAAACGACATCTGTCAAATATTAAAATACACACAATACAGTTGTCGTTATCGCTAGCTTCAATTTGATCCTATATTTGCCAACGACAGTAGAACGACAGTAGAGTTGACAGTAGAATGGAAGATGGAGAGATGAGGAAGAGTGGGGATGCCACTAATATGTAAAATGTAAAATTACTCAAAGTTCTAACAAACCTGACGTTATTTTTCAAATAAAAGCATAAAATAGCTCTGTTACATCATTTATAATAACAACTGATAATTTAAAGCAAATAAATTCATAGGTTTTGTAATTTGAAGCATCATAGTATTATTTTCAATGGAAAATGATTAAAACATTTAATGATTGAGAACTAACAAGCTTAAATCTTTTTATTGGGCATTGAAAGGTCAAAAGTCAGTTTTTCTAATATACTTTAAAAAAATTTAAATAGTTTCTCCATATAATAAATAACCACTATATAGTAATTTTTATTCGTACTAAATGTTGGTTGTTTTAATTTAAATGCCCAAAAATTATTATTTTGTCCAATCTGGCCATAATGGAAAATGTTATAAAAAACTCTAATTTTGAGGTGCTCTCACACTGGAATTAGTTGAACTGCGTTGTTTTGTGTACATGCCGGCCATTGTTATGTTGCTGCCCTCTCACAAACGTTTATGTAGTAGGATTCACAACGCCATTTTCAGTTCACTGTCGTACTGTTGCAGTCTGTCGCGAGCATTGTGTTCCGCACATCAACCATAATATTACCGAAAAATAGAAACCAAACAAAAATCGCACCAACTAGCAGAATTGAAAACGAAAACAAAATTCTTTTGTGAGCACAGAATTTCGCTAAAACGTACGTTTTCTGCAATGAATTAAAAATGTATGTAAGTACTTACATACATACTTACAAACTTTCGCTTTTGGCTCCCGACGAAGCGGTCCCTTCTGGTTATACATAAATGTATAAATAAATATACATACATGTTGGTATATGAAGGTTAGTACCAGGATTTCTCTTAAGTATTCACTTATGTCCGCATATACATACATACATACATATATATATATATATCGTATATATGTATATATCGTATATATGTATATATGTATATATCGTATATATGTATATATCGTATATATGTATATATGTACATGCATAAGAACTCTAGATGTGTTATCATCATAAATGCGAGGCGAAATATGTTAGCTCATCAAATTTTCTTTACACAAAATAGGTCATAACAAATCGTTTATGAAACATGACTCTCACTCACTTTGTTTGTGGAGGCAAACCACCGGCATACCACCACACATATGCACCTTAAAGGGTGAATACGCAACAGTATGCGGTATGCTCTTATAAACGAAAACTTCTTATTAATTTTATAATTACTTTAGGCAATTAGTAATAAAGGTCTCAATACTCTTTAATAATGTAAACAAAAATGTTTAATTGGCTTCGTACTTCCATTAATATTTTCATCAATTTACTTAATTGAATTTTATGTGTTTTTTGTTCTTTTAACTTTATCTTAAGATTCATTTTTACTGTCACTGTTTGTTGTTGTGGAGATAATGTACACTTGACAATATTGTGAACATATGTTCAAGTAAAAACAAAAATAATTCCTTTAGAAGGCATTGGGTACCTAACCAATATGTAAGTACACTCAGTTTTGTGTTTAGTGTTCAATGGTTACGTCGTCAATCGGACATCTACGGAATATTTTTTTCTTACTTACAATGCACTTATATATGTACATATTTATGTAGAGCATAATTTATAATACGCGTTAATATTTCAAACCACTTTCTACATATGCATACATTGATTCGTCTAAAGCCAGTATCAAGAAATATTGAAAGACGTAAACAAAGTTTTAACTGACATCAACAAAAGAACATGTTTGAACAAGCATCGCAGAGTAATGCATTGGTAACTTAAACAGCAAACAACATGTAATTTCAAAAACAAAAAAAAAAAAATAAATAAATAAAATAGATGTATTTACATAGTCGGCTATTACACGAAGCAACTTTTGTTGCGGCAACTCTTGGTTTATAGGAGAGGGGGCGACGAGGAGAGGAGAATCGCGCCGAGTTTCCAGTGTTCAGCAACTCGCTTTGTGTTCTTATTCGTAACAGTTCGCTGCGACGTTTTTCTGCATTCGTGTTCTTTCTTTCGTAGTATATAGTTGCATTTGCGTATATTATTTTGAAATTAATATTTTGAATAAAAGATATTGTGAAATGTATGGAGGAAGCCACACAAATTGATTCAGATGATAGTGAAGATCTGTTATATAACCTTTGTTTTAATTTTGAATTATAAATAAAATGTATTTTTAATTTACAGAACTGATTAATATATGTGATAGAGTGGCCCTATAAGGAAAAAGAAACGACAATGGGTTAAAGTGAAGTGAAAGAGAATGAGAAAAATACTCGAACAGAGTTGCGCAACACAAGTTGCTCGTGTGAATGCAATGGGCAACAGCCAAAGAGAATCGCCCGAGAATCAGCAACAAAAGTTGCTTCGTGTAATAGCCGACATACATCCAAACAGCAGAAACCCACAGCTCTCAGCTTTTTACTCTCTCAACTTGTGATCTCTTCTGCTAGTTTCTGCTTTGAAGGCAGAAAATTTGCTAGCTAATGATAGTTAGCAGTTAAGAAACAAAGTCTAAATTGGAATGTTACAATTTTTATATAAATATCAGTATTTACAGGAATTTTCAATGGAATGATTCTTTAATATATGAAAATTATATCTATGCAAAACAGTTTAATAAATAAAAGTGACCACTGCAACCGCAAATTTTATCTCAACTTTGTTGTTGTGTTAAAAAATCGTGAAGAACTTATTTAAATGACTCGAAAAATAAAGAAATGAAAAGAAAAAATATGGGGAAATACGAAGTAAATCAATGTACATGGAGTTATGAAATCAGTTAAACTCTTTACATTTTCAAAAAGTTAGAGATCCTTACTAAAAATAATGTAACTCAAAGTGTACAAAAAACTACTTAAAAAATATCTTACATCGCGTGCGCTGCGAATACGATTAATTATAGAATAAAAAAAATATGCTAAAACTTTGCAGAACATATAATTATCTAAAAAAACTTTCGCTTTAGCATATGTTCAACTGTTAAAGCTATTTATTTAAAAAATAATAATAAAAGCCCGTCTCTGTAAAAGGACTTTATTTGTATCTTGGAATCTTATGAAAATAAATTACTTCATATTTAAGGCTGATTCAATTATACACTATAAAGTCGTACGAATTATTCGATTCAGACATTGAATTCGAAAGATATCACGAATTTAAAAATGTAAAGTACAGTAAAATTCCCCATTGTATACAGTACTCATAGGCGGATATCTCCCATAACTGGACAAATTTCATGAAAACAATGTTTTCATTATTATTTTCATAAATACTTAATTATAGAAATAGAACCGAACATGGACACTATTTTGGTAATATTGCGTTCAAATTATCTCTGATAAACGGACAAGATTTCATAAAAAATTTTAAAATGGTTCCCTCTTTTTTAAATTCTCATTAATTTTTTGGTGTTTTAAGACAGTTTTTTAAGAACAATTCGTAAAATGATCACAACAAAAAAATGTTTTTCTCTGGTGCCGTCTAGTTCGCGGTGGCTCTACGCAAACTAATGGGATAATTGTCATTTATGCACTCCTGTCTGACATTTGTAGGCTCGCATGTATTAGTCAATAGAATATAATACTGAGATGCAGTCCTCCCATGGCCAGACAAAAACACTGCGACAGTGGGTGTTGGGTTATGAAGAATTTCACTGTATTAGAAAAGAGTTGCGTAGTCGCTGGTCCGCTCGGTTAGTCTAAAATATAATATGCGATGTAGTCGTCAATGCAAAGAATAAATTGTAACGCGTACCAGAGAATCGAATATCGGGGTTCACAGCGGTTTGCTGACCAAAATTAGAGAACCTCTCAAGTACCCAACCGTCAGTCGAGTACAGAGTATTTGCAGCGGATCGAAGAATAAAATATTAGAAATATACAAGTACACAAATAATCGGGCTCTGAGCGTTGCGCGTCGCAATCGCGTGTAAGAGATTCGAGTATCAAACGTTCGCAACTTGTAAATTAATTAATTATCTTAACTATAATACAAATCTTATACATACACATATAAATATTTTCTTATTTTTTATTTTAGAATAAGATGGAGAAAGCGGTCGACGAAAAATTAGACAGTCTGACAAAGTATGTGCCATTCATAAATTATTTGCTAGAATTAGATAATGAGAAATACAAAAAATTTAAAGATATACAACATTGGATTATATCTAGAAAGAGGTAAGTAAAAATAGTCTGTTATTCTTTTCTTTTATATAAAATTACATTTAAATTTTTAATAGGTACCCGATGAATGTGCTACAAAAGATTGAGCAGTCGATCATAACGCAGTACAGAAATTTATTTTTTGATGATGGGGTAAGTTTTAAGTGCAAAATTAAAAAAAAAAAATCGTTCGAATTAAAATTTGTTCTATGTTGCAAAAGTAATTTTGATGCATGAATGAATGCAAAACCACAGATAAAGTTTTTATAAACTTCCAGGATTTAAATTAAAAAGTGAGTCAATTCAATTCGAACGAGTTAAGGAACATGTTGCTTTTCGCATTCGCACCTAAAAAATAACATAACTGACCCAGTTAATATATGTATGTACATATACATATATGTATTTTGATATATGATACATATATGTATATGTATATAAAAAATCATATTACCATATTTCGTATTTATCAAAAATATTTGCGCACTACGAAAAATAAATATCAAAATGTTAGTGAATAATATCCAAACGTTAAAATATTAACTTTTCCAAAAATTGAAACCCCACTAATTCCACAAAGCAATAATAAAAATATTCAAATATCCGATAAATTCAAACGGCTAATTGCACTATAAAAATATTATACGACAAGTCAGTACAAAAATTCAGGCAAATAACGCGCTACTTCAATCTGTAGAGAATAGAGACTTCTTTAAAGCTTATATCCATACTTGCTTATCACCTAAATACAAACATATATTAATACATTTCACCCAATCTACAATCATTGATGGCCTTATATGTTACAGCCATAAACAACAAATCACAAGCCTATATTAATACCTTTTACCCAATCTACAAACATGAATAGGCTCTCGAAATATGCAAAAATAAACTTTTTTTTTTAATTTCACACCAGGTATGCACATTAGTTCTACGATACAGTAATTTTCACTTAAATATTTAGAAGTAATGAAAACAAATTATTTTTTACCCACTCAATTTTGGATGAATTAGTACAAAGTTTGTAGACTTTGAACTGACTGTGTGCCAAACTGTAATCTTTTTCCTTGTGTTGAATTGGGGTGAAAAAATTTCCTATGGTATAAACAAATTTTACATTTTGTTGTGCCATATAAAAAGTAAAATTTTGACAGTTGAAGTTCAAAACAAACCCAATTGCGTCTTCTGAATGCTGGCCTTGTTATTTAAATTATTAAATATATGCATGTATTGGTAAAATTAATTGAAAAAAATAATGTTCTTCCTAAAAACAATATTATATAGGCTACTATGACGCTACTTCGCTACACATATATATACTCATATATACATATCAACTTCAAAGTTATTATTTTTACTTAATTTTTAATCTTAATTTAAATTTGCTAAATAATATAAATTCAAAAGATGTCAAGCACTTATTTGGAGAATCATTTCTGCATTGAATGAAATAAATTATAACAATAACAAATGAATAATTATGTATTTTATAACATACTTATTATGTATGCAGCCCAACTCACAAGGCTTAAATTCTGACATTCGGATTCACAACAAAAAAGTCAAAATTCCACTTTTATCTGTTAGAATTTTATTTTGTTTGGCACACAGCCTAAGAAATAAAACTATGAATTACTAATCATTACATGAATGAGACAAAAATGTCATTTGAATTTATGAAATTATTTGAGCTTACCTAAATTATGAAATCCAAATAAATATTGGTGTCTTCCATACTCACAAATACAAAAATTACATTTTATTTTAAATTATATGTAACACCTATTCTATAATTCTACTTCACAGAAAGTGCCCAAGCATATTATGGATATTTTTAATACACATGCGCACGTTAAATGCTTTAGTGTAAATTTGTGCTCCGATGACGAAGATAACGCTGAAAATTCATCCGATATTGAAGAAGATGACGATGACGTTATTATCGTGTCCACATCACCAAACACACAATATAATGTGAAGCTGCCAACAGAAAACCCAAATCAATTTTTCAAAAGCAATGATGAAGAGACATTCTCAACTACGCAATGTAGTAAAAACAAAGAACAGGAAGTGTCTTTCAAGCACGCTATAGGACCTGAACAAAATCAATGTGTTAAAAGCAATGAGACATCATCAGCTACGCAATGTATTGAAACAAAAGAACTGGAAGTGTTTTCAATATGCTTAGATTCGGATGACGATGAAGTATTAATGAATACAGTTCCAAACGAAGGTGAATTATGTGTCAAGGAGGAGCAATTTTTTAAGCGGAGGGGAGATTTTATAGATAAAGTTGAAAATGAAGAAAGTACAGAAAACAAAAGTGAAACAATTGTTCAAACGAAAGAAAATCATTCAAATGAATTGAGCAAAGTATGGGGTAAACCAATTGAAGTTGTTCAATTGCACCAAATGCAGAACACGGACTTAAATTTGGAGAACAGAAATATGAATCAAGATAGGTGTAAACATATCTATGAGGATTTAACAAAGGAAATTGGAATTGATGTCCAGCAATTGCTAAAAAATATAAATTTGACTTCGTCACAAACAGAAAAAAACAAAAATAAGTCGCTAAATGAGGATTTTTATAGTTCACCAAATTGCACAAATAAGTCACCGTATGAGGATTTTCATAGTTCACCCCAATATACAAATACGGGTCTGACTCCTTATCCCGTAGTGAATGCCAACGTAATACCACCAAATATATATAGCATGCAAACTCCTATATTGCCACCACAGACACCGCTTAGATTAAATTTGAAAGATCCACGAATCGTTAAATTATTAGAAAAAAGTAATACTTTACAAATGATTTCAATGGGCATGCCTGTAAGAAACGTAACTACAACGACGGAATTACCGAAATCTGAGCCAAAAACATATGGTGATTATAAACGGCAAAAAGCGGAGAGAGCTAAAAAAGCTGAGGAATTGAGGAGAAAAGAAGAAGCAAATAAAGTTGAAGAATTGAAGAAAATAGAGGAAGCAAAGAGTGCTGAAGAGTTAAGAAAAATAGAGGAAGCGAAAAGATCGGAGGAATTAAGAAAAATAGAGGAAGCCAAAAGATCGGAGGAATTAAGAAGAATAGAGGCAGCGAAAAGATCAGAGGAATTAAGGAAAATAGAGGAAGCCAAAAGATCGGAGGAATTAAGAAGAATCGAAGAAACGGAAAAAGCTGAGGAACTGAGGAGAATAGCGAAAGCGAAAAGTGCAGAGAAATTAAAGAGATTAGAGAAAGCCAAAAGAGCAGAGGAATTAAAGAGAGTAGATACAGCGAAAAAATCAGAGCAATTAAACAGAATAGAAGAAGCGAAGAAAGCTGAGGAACTGAAGATAATAGAGGAAGCGAAAAGAGCAGAGGAATCAAAAAGAATAGAAGAAGCGATGAAATCTGAGGAACTGAAGAGAATAGAGGAAGCGAAAAGAGTAGAGAAATTAAAGAGAATAGAGGCAGCAAAAAGAGCAGAGGAATTAAAGAGAATAGAAGAAGCCAAAAGAGCAAAGGAATTGAAAAGAATGGATGAAACGAACATGGACACTGAAATGTCAAGTGTGAATAATCAATTGGACTCATTTGGTGAGCAACAAACTGATTTCAGGAGTATAATTTTGAATACTATTCTACCATATAGTGACAAAATATTAAATGTCCTTAAGAAAGACAACGAAGAAGAACTAACCGATAAAATAGCAGTATTGGGCAATTCCAAAAAATTATCAGATAAAAAAACTGACACTAACACAACCGCTGTAAATCATCAAATATCATCTTTTGCTGTTGCTGCAGTTAATACGAGCAACCAAAATACCGAAAGTGCAAATAACGTTCAAAATGATGTAGAAGAGCAGACAAAATGCGAGCTTTACTCTAAGTGCACACAAAAGAGCAATAAGCGTCGGCAAAAAGAGAATAAATCAAAGCCTGCTTACAAAAGAATACGAAGTATTTCGTCTTCTTCGTCAACAACATCGGAATCGTCGTCCATGACATCGACAACAACACCGCCTTCAACCAGCTCTACAACAACTGCTAATAGTAATAGGGCAAGAGAGAATCAACCATTGGTTTATGAGCCAATTATAAAATTAAGAAGACTTTCAGCGGAAACCATTTCAAAATACACGAAAACGCCGGCCAACGAGTTCAAAACTATAAACATACGTTTAGTAGAAGACGTTAGAAGGACGATGAAAACTGTGCATCATTTGGTCAAGGAGAAACCGATCAAACTAAATGTTAAATATAAAAACGTCGATATACATATGACCAGTACTAATACGAAATTTTGTGTGTTATGTAAATCAAAACCATCAGATTTAACGAATCACTACAAAAGGGTACATAAAATCGAATCTTATGTGGCACGTCTCAGCAGATCGGCCTTACATTATTTGGAAAATAACATTTCATTTGCACAAAAATTAGCAAAAACTACATCACAGAATGTGAAAAAGTATAAAATTAAATGTGCTTTTTGTCAGGATGAAATCGCAGATAAGTTTATAAATTTTTACAAGCATTTCTCTATACACACTGGCGAATATGCTTTTCAATGTGATGTTTGCAAGTTGGAAAAACCCTACGAATTTGACATACAATCGCATAAATGTCATTCGAAGTCTTGTCGCAATGCCGCAATTCGAACACTCTACCAATATCCCAAAAACGTGCTGGTCATATATTTATATTGTTGTAAAATATGCAATTTCGTACAATTAAATGAAGCAAATACATTTAAACATTTGCGTGATCACCACGATAAACGGCAAGATGATTCGACTTGCATAACTAAATATATATTGACAGCTATAAATGATGAGGAGACTTGCGAAAAATCCGCTGAATTCGATACAAACTATGATTTACTTATGAACGATGGTGATGTTGAAGATATACAGGTGAAAAATGAAGCTATACTAGAAGATATAACTGAAAAAGAGCAGGTAGAGTCAAATCAATTGCCTAGTAAGCAGCAAGACTTCAAAGCCACGATTAGCAGCGGCATTGGAATGGTAGAACTTCCGTATACAAAATACTACAAATACTCCTCTGTATTGAATAAAAATACAACTTCGGTGCAACAAAATGATGAAAGACCTATAGTTTTGTCATCAGTAGAAAATTTTATTAATTCAAGTTCTGCGCCGTGTTCGGAGTATATAAAAACGGAATACTCGGGCATATTACCATTACAAAAAGAGAATTATAGTTGTAAGAAACTATTGCAAAATTCCTGTAAGATTTCTTATCGCCAATATCCAAATGGAGTTTCTTATTTCGGCTTATACAAATGCATGGCCACGGATTGTCTATTCTCGACGGATGCTAAAGAGGAAATGTTGCAACATCTGCAGGAACATTTGAGCAGTGAATGCCCACCCGAAGACTGTCTACTATGCGGTTACTGTCAATTAGATGCCGAGATTTGCTCAACAAGTGAAGAGTTGATTGCACATATACAACAAAATCATCAGCAATCGCAGTTTCAATGTTCAGTTTGTTGCTATCGTGCTATTTCACCAAGTCATGTTTCAGAGCACTTTAAACATGCTCACTCAAAACAAGAATTCCAATTTGTATACAAATGTGGGTTGGATATCAATTTAGATACTAGTGTACCAGCAAATATTGCTGAATTGCTGGAAGAAAATGTAGAACCGCTCGTATGTCCGCTTAAAGGTAAACTGCGTTTTAAAGTAAATGTATGCATACATTACATTGTATTTTTTACTTCCTTTATCCATAGATTGTGTACAAAGTTTTCAGAGCGTGGGTTGGATGAAAAATCATCTCATGTATGCGCACTCTTTACCAAACAAAAGTGAAAGTATTACAGCACTGGAAAAATATACATGTATATATTGTACAATGAATTTTTTTGATTTGGAGAAGGTCAAGAATCATTTGGCTAGAAATCATCCCGACCTGCAACCTTACGTTTGCGAGAGAGTTTTACTTCCAGAAAAAGAGGTAACATTGTCTATATGTTTTAATTGCAATTTAGTATGTCGGGTTATAACCATCAATACTCAAAACAACAACCAAGAAAAAAAAACGGTAACTTCGGCTAAAATAAAAAGATGTCAATCTTTTTGATAAGTCACCTTGTATGGCAGCTATATGTTATAGCGATCATTGTATTGTTGCAATAATTTATGCCAAATTTTGAGGAAGATATTTTGTCAAATAAAATTACTTTTTATATAAAACTGGATCTCGAACGATAATTTCGTGGCAGCTATATTCTACAGTAGTCCGATATTGGGGGTTCCGACAAATTGGTTTGTACTTCCTCCCAACTCTTATATAAGGATATTTGCCACCTTGTTTGGTATTACTCAATCCACATTGGGCGTATTTTCAAATCTCCTGACCTACATTCTTCAAATGTTTTTTGGGTTTCCTCTTTTATTAACTCTTTATTTTTTCAGGAGGATTTACTGCAAAATTTAACCATAACATTTGTGTCGCTGCCAACAATACCAGCTGAAAATATCAGACATGTAAAGGTGAAACAAGAATTCGGTTTTAACTCAACAAGTGACAGATCCGTGTTAAAGAGGGAAGATAAAGCGAGCGGTACAACAGACGTGGCTATAGAAAATCAGACTGAGCGTGACACCAAGCCAAATTTAGAGCAATTAGAGCGAACAGCTGAAGAGAGCGTCAAACTGAGTTTGCTCAAATTGATAAAAAATACTGGCATTTCCCCCGATTTACTCTATCATTGCCCACAACCTACATGCGGCGGATTTTTCTCATCCTACGACTTGTGGTATAGGCATATGAGCCTACGGCATTGTTGTCTTTTAGGTATTTGCCCACATTGTACCAATGATAAGAAGACCGAGTTGCCATTGCTCGATTTCAAAAAGCATTTCCAACAACACTGTTGTCATCTATATGGATGTTTCCATTGCGGTGAAACATTTTCTAATGAGCAGGCAACCAGAGATCACATAACCCTTGCACACACAAGTATAAATACAGACTCTACGACGATACAAACATCAAAGATTGCACTCTATTTCAATCAATCATTTAATATATTATTGAAATCGGGGCAAGAGAAGAATAGATACACCCTTTTGTTGGAGTTGCAAGAAATTATTCAAAATCGTTGTAATTACGCAGAAAAGTTGTACTACGAGTCTTTAAAAACACAGTGGATTGTGCCGGTGACTGCGACGTGGTTGGAGAACTTTCCAAGTTTCAAAATTAATGACCGGATAAAACGAAAGTGTTTTTGTAAAAATTGTCCATTCCAAAGTTATGATAATGAATTATTTTATACACATTTAAGAACAACTCATCAGGTAAATGATAATAAATTTGTGTGTGCGAAATGTGATTTTCATGTAGCGTGCAATAACTGGGACCCCATTATAGATCACATAAAAATGCATGTTCTGAATATACACATATGCTCGGTATGCTCATTTTACCATCATGATCGACAAGCAATACGTGCACATTTGTCGCAAGAGCATCGCTTTAGAGATGTGCCGGTTGTAACGCTAATACGTTCGTCGTTGAATACTCAAATTTCATTAGCCATTGTATTTGCAGAGCAAAGAAAAACATTTTCTACCATCAACAGCTGTTTTTGTTGTGATAAAAACAATAGTTCGTGGAATGCATTAGCCACACATTTAAAGAAAACTCATCATTTGACATTGCAATATTTTTGTGAAATCTGCGACGAGTCACTTAAGCTCACAGAATGTGATGTGCATTTTACCAACTGTCATCCCACAACAGCGTTAAGGATTCGCTGTCACATTGCAACTAACACTCAAATATCTATGGATAGCGTGATGCCATTGAAACTCATAATCGAATCAAATGTCAATGATGCACTTGGCGTAGCAATTAAGCAAGAACCCTGTGATATTGAAATGGATAATGATATTGAACTCATTAATGACGATGATATTGTCATTGCTAATGATATGCAGATGTGCAAAACTCAGAAAAATCAGAAAGTCATAAGATGTGTGAGTGTTGCGAATCTACAAAGTCAGCACATAAATAACGGTAATTTTGAAACGCTTGCATTACCACAGCCACCACCTAAATCGATAAGATGTGTGAGCGTTGCGAACATACAATGTCAACACACAAATAACGATAGTTTTGAAATGCTTACATTGCCACAATCATCACTTCCAGTTCCAGTATCAATACCACAGTTACAACCACAGCCAATGCAACAGCTGCAATTGCAATCACATTTCATTCCACAGATCTTGGCTCAAGCGAGACATATCAACCCGACGAACGTTACAAATACAAACATGCCATTGTTTACACCGCCATTGGCAATACATAGCAAAAATCCGAATTTCGCTGGTGACTACAATTACAGGCCTGCTGAAATTTTTGTAAATGGCACAGGTAAGGAACTTATCTAATTCATTAAAATATGTAGAAATTAAGCCGGAATTCTAAGATGAATTCTTATATTTATAAATACAGTGAGCGTCAAAAATAAGTAAACAGCAGTTCTATCAATATTAAAGTGTTTATAACAACGCAATCTTTAATGCAACAATAAAAAGTTGTATTACAG